AAAAAAAAAAAAAAAAAAAAAAAGAAGAAATATGCATAAAGTCCCCAGTTTAATCCTCTCAACAAAACTAGTATTATTAATATTCCTACATGAGACATAAAGACTATATTTGTTATAAAGACTTTATATCTTATTACTATACACAAAGAAAGTTAAGCACAGAGATATCAAGTAATCTTTTTTAAACTTTTAGTTTAGGTTCCGGGGTGCATGTAGAGGTGTGTTATGTAGGTGAGCTCGTCATGGGGAATTGTGTAATAGTCCGTGGCAAAGATTGTTTCCTCGCCCAGGAATTATGCCCAGTTCTGAGTCGTTACCTTCTCTACCCCTCTCCTCCTCCCACCCTCCACCCTCAGGGAGACCCTAGTGTCTGTTGTTTCGTTCTTTGTGTTCCTAAGTTCTCACCCTTTAGCTCCCACTGACAAGTGAGAACATACAGCGTTTGGTTTTCTGTCCCTACCATAGTTAGCCACGGATAACGGCCCCCAGCTCCATCCGTGTTCCTGCAAAGGACATAATCTCATGAGACGTTTATCCCCACCTGCGGAGGAGGAGTGAATGCACTCTCACAGCATCACAGGGATTCCGGTGGGCTAGGAATGGTCGCAGCTGCTTTCAGAGGGCAAAATGCAACCGATCGACCGAGACTCCCTCTCCATGGGTCCATTCATTCGGTGAAAGATTGCGAACAGAGGTCCTAAGTCAACACACTTGTGGACAATTAGCACGGTAAAAGAGTGGTTATAGAAATCATAAAAATTGTAGGGTCCAGGCCCAGAGTAAACACTATTAGTAAACACAGAGAAAACCACGGGTAATTCCTCTTCGATCTCCCCCTAAGAGGGCCACGCAGCACCAAGTGTGTGTGAGTGAACAGCGGAGACAAAGCCATGTGGGGTAAACGGACTTGAACTTGGAAAGCCAGGAGACGTGCTCTGCACACCTGTTTATCATTTTTGGCCAGATGATCGACAAAAGCAGCTGTTTGTACTGACAGCAGTAGATGCCACGGCCACGCCGGCAGGTGCCAGGAAGACGGCTGAGACTCTCGAAGCCGCGAGCGTCACCGGGAACGCTCTGTGTTTGACCCGCAGCGTGACTTGCGTCTCGGTTGACCGTGTGCCATTACCCAGGAGCAACTGGCTGAGCAGTTCGTCTGTTAGAAGCTGTGAAGCGGGTGTTACTTTAGGTTCCAGGGCAGAAAACTGTGGATTACAAGATGAGCTTGATACAGGGTAGCAAGGGTAGGTTGCAGGCAGAGCGAAAGAATAAAAAATAAATAAATCCCACGCAGGATGCACTCAGCCTTTTGCTGGTCCTCAGCATTCCTGGAGGAGGTGATGTCCGGGGCTTGTGTGGTCATTTTGCAGGGTCTCTTAGGCTGGCTTGGGTTTTTTTCTCCTTCCCATCCTTTGATGAGGACGCAGTTCCTTGGCTGGTGCTGGTGCACTGGAAATTCTAGGACTTGTGCCTGTGCTAAGAGACTTTTTATAATCTTTGTACAAGAGCAGGTTAGTGCTTTAAGAAAATCTTGTGCCTAATGTCCAGTTCACAGAAAACCTGGATACTTCTTTAACTTTTAACTAATATGTTTACACATGGAGTTTTCTTTATAGCTAATGTTTTAAAACTTGCTTAATCTTTCAAAACAAAATTTATACAACCTACTTGCATGAATTTTCTTCTGTAACGTTTTTTACAACGTTCACTGACAACCTTAGATGTGCTTTAACTTTGTGTTATAACCTTCCTTACTAAAGGTGCGATCTTATAACTTTCTTAATATTTTTTCTTGTGGCCGGGCGTGGTGGCTCACGCCTGTAATCCCAGCACTTTGGGAGGCCGAGGCGGGTGGATCACGAGGTCAAGAGATCAAGACCATCCTGGTCAACATGGTGAAACCCCGTCTCTACTAAAAATACAAAAAAATCAGCTGGGCATGGTGGTGCGTGCCTGTAATCCCACCTACTCAGGAGGCTGAGGCAGGAGAATTGCCTGAACCCGGGAGGCGGAGGTTGCAGTGAGCCGAGATCGCGCCATTGCTCTCCAGCCTGGGTAACAAGAGCGAAGCTCCGTCCCAAAATAAATAAATAAATAAATAAATAATAATAATAAAGGGTAAAGTGTGGTTTTACATGCTTAGCTTTTAATTGATGTTTAACTAATTCGTGGGCCTTCTTTTATAGCTGATTGAAATTTGTCATTTAAATTTACAAAATTAAGGGTAAATAAAGCTTGTGCTAGTAGTGTTGCCTTTTAAGACAGAAAACAGGTTTTGCAGCTTATTAGTCAATTAGGAACTTCTTTTTTAACTGAGGAGCAAAGCTATATGACTGGCTTTTAATTGCTCCTTACTAATTTCATGGACTAGCTGTAATTTCTCTCCCTTCAGAGGTTACTGTTTTACTTAAACTGGATTTTAAAAGAGCCACGTTAAGAGTAGAATTGTAAGAACAACAGTGGCTAATATCAGAGAAAGGTTTTACAAATCCTTAAATTTACTTAAATCTTAGCAGAGAATTACAATTTGGGACATTGCTTGTATACAAAGAACACATGAAATTTTACCGTGGGACACCTGCGGAGAGCAGCTCAGCGGCACAGGTCCCAGGTTGGCAGGTCCTGGGTTGGCAGGTCCTGGGATGGCAGGTCCCGGGCTGGCAGGTGCTGGGATGGCAGGTCCTGGGATGGCAGGTCCGGGGTTGGCAGGTCCCGGGATGGCAGGTCCCGGGATGGCAGGTGCCGGGATGGCAGGTGCCAGGTTGGCAGGTCCAGGTCCCGGGTTGGCAGGTCCCGGGATGGCAGGTCTGGGGTTGGCAGGTCCGGAGTTGGCAGGTCCCGGGATGGCAGGTCCCGGGATGGCAGGTCCAGGGTTGGCAGGTCCGGGGTTGACAGGTCCCGGGATGGCAGGCGCCGGAATGGCAGGTGCTGGTTTGGCAGGTCTGGGGTTGGCAGGTCCGGGGTTGGAAGGTCTGGGGTTGGCAGGTCCCGGGTTGGCAGGCCCTGGGATGGCAGGTCCTGGGATGGCAGCTGAGCTGGCCACGCCCAGGTGCTGCTGGCTGCTTTGCACTTGAGCAGAGCTTCTCTGTGGGAGCATTTTTTCCCTTTTTTTTTTTCCTTTTTGCTCAGCCACTTGCCTTTGGCCTGTAATGACCTTTTTAAATTTTGTTTTGTTTTGTTTTTGAGATGGAGTCTCACTCTATCACCAGGCTGGAGTGCAGTGGTGCAATACTGGCTCACTGCAACTTCCGTTTTCTGGTTTCAAGCAATTTTCCTGCCTTGGCCTCCCAAGTAGCTGGGACTACAGGTGTGCACCACCATGCCTGGCTAATTTTTTTTTGCATTTTTAGTAGAGTTGGGGTTTCACCATGTTGGCCTGGATGGTCTCGATCTCTTGACCTCGTGATCCACCCGCCTCAGCCTCCCAAAGTGCTGGGATTATGGGTGTGAGCCACTGCACCCAGCCTGTAATGCCTTTTTTCTTATCTTTTTATAAACATACACCTGCTTGCCTTGCTGATTGTTAATTACTAAGCAGGCTGAATTTCTTTGGTAATGCTGCTGCTTAAGACAAATTCCTATAACTGTAGTGTTTCCCTTGTCCTGTTTCCCATTTCTTTGTCACTTTTGTGCGTGATTTCTCACCACCTGTTCCTAGAGTTTTACTTCTAGCGTGCTCCTTGCCAGGAACCACGGGCTTTGGGAAGCAGCAGTTTGAATTATGTTTCTCAGTGGAGCTTGATATTGTTTCTGTTGTGCCGATAACTGCTGTCCCACGATGAATCCCTAGCCTGAAACAATGCCTCCCCAAGCTTGGCCATCCCCAGTGGGTACCAATGACTTACCGACTACTTGGCCTGGGGAGGTCTGTTCTGCAGACCCTGACTCAACAGTGGAGGAACGAATGCACTCTCCCAGCCTTACAGGGATTCAGGTGGGCGATGGGCGAAGCGGCTTTCAGAGGGCGAAATGCAACCC